ATGGTTGACATTCTGGTAAATTTGTGGATGTCAACCGTCGAACATTATGCAATCTGCATAACTGTTTGTTGTCTTGCTTTTGTATGTATCCTAGCTGTGTGGAGTTGCAGGAAGACCATTTAATGTAAGGCTATTCAATTTTCAAGCCATGTGATTACTTAAGTTTGAAAACTTTGATATTGGATTAACGACCATTCGATTTAGGCAAAAAGCTAAGATCTTTAGAACCAAATCTGGGTTATTGGGGAAGTCGAATTTCAGGCTGTAAAGAGCGAACAGATAGGCACATGCGCCCCACGACAGGCCGAATAAATAGACTGTAAATTCTGATCTATTGGGTAAAATGACCTTCATGTTTGTAGACCCAATGGATCCAACCTGAGAGACCCAGTAATCGGATCCATATTCTGATCTATTGGGTAAAATAACTTTTGCTCAGCTTAAAGGTAGAGGCCCCAACAGCTACCCACCGGCCCGGTGCACATGCAAAAGCCACTGTTTCGCTTACGGTGTAACAAAAACAAAGAACGAATCTGTTTAGAGTCTCGACTTGAATTCTCATGTAATAACTAATTACCAGTAAAGAAAAATGTTAAAGACTGCATTTTTCTTCTTGATACCAATCTGGGTCTTAGCTTTAAACTCGGCTATGGACGCATCTTCACTTTCGAGATGCACCACCGCTTCTCTCAACGCGTGCACAACTCCATTGGAAAACTCTCGCATTGGCCTTTAAAAGACTCCTTCGAATACTACGCCGTCTTAGCTCAACGGGATCGCCGCCTCCGCGGCTGAACTATTTAATCAATTTAGTCCATCTCTAATTCTCATTTTATTAGGCTGAACTATTTAACTAAGGAGGTTTCTTCTACGCTCGACGAGCAACGATGAACACCACTAACGACGAGTACCATTAATTTAATTTATAAAAAATTAAATTTTGGGTACCAATTAGACAATTTTTCATAAATTTCCTCGGCTTCAATATTAAAAAGGGCAGAGAATCAGGTGCGGAAACGAAAAAAACTCCCAAAATAGAAGGGTTATCCCGCCAAAAACAGAAATTTATAATAGAATCATAAAATAAAAACAGGGGTAAACTCTATTGACCACCTAACTATTTAGGCTTTTTACTTTTATCATTGATCTTTTAATTTTATCAATCAGATCACCTAACTATTTAATTGTTATCAATCAAGCCACGCGAAATAAAATTGGTATAATTATAGCTTTGGTCCTTCATAGTTATATATTCTATCAATTTGTTCCTAATTTTAATTTGATTTAATAAAATTAGATGGAAAATTAAAGGAAGTAGAAGGTAGAATGTAAGAGGGCGAGGTGGGATTCAAACTTGCAATCTTTGGGTTGAAATCAACGCCCAAACCTTTGAGCTACATACACTGCTTGACATTCATATGCAACATATGGTATATAACTTTAAGGAATGATAGAAACAAGAAAGGAAGTAAAAAATAATTTTAGTTTTAATTTAAGTAATAAATTTCAATTTTTTAAAATAATTCTATATATATTTTTAACCAAGTTTTTATAATATATTTTCATATTTTTAATAAAAAATTTGAGTTAAAATATATAAAATTATTAATAAAAAAATATTAATTTAATGATTATATATATATATCAATTGTTTTTAACTTTATAAAAAATAATTTTTTAAATAGTTTTGAGTTAAATATATATATATAGTTATTAATATAATTTTAAAATTATTACTTAAGTTAAAAATATTTAATTTGATGATTATATATTTAAATTATTGTTAAATTTATCAAATAATTTCATATATTTTTTAATAAAAATAAATTTAGTTATATATATATATATGTAATTATTAATAAAAATGTCTCATTTGTTACAGTTTTTATATACTGAATATTGCATCAAATGGCAAGTATAAATGGATAATGGGGCTGCTCAGTGACTTAGGTGTGTCCAACCAGTCCAAAGGGCACAGGATCGAGCCTCATCACCCCTTTCTTTTGTGTTTTCTGCTTCTACTAATTTTCCATTCAATTTGATGGTGACACGTGTCACCATCTGGTTGGGTGGAAAATAAAATAAATTAATATTAATAAAAAAATCTCAACTTATATTGTGACACATGTCATAATTTGATTAGAGGATTACAATTAATAAATCAAATAAAAATTAAGATCAAATTAATAGAATATATAACTATTGAGGACCAAATATGTAATTATATCAATTTTATTAACTGTCACGTCACCACTCCTGTCAGTTGTTAATGGCGGGTGGTTTGGTTGACAACAAGTAAAAGTTAAGTGGTTTGACTGATAAAATTAAAAGATCGATGGTAAAAGTAAAACGGCTAATGATATAATTTACCCTAAAAACAAATGGTTTGGACGAGACCTACATGCCCAACCAGAGTTGGGATGACACTAGGGATAGCAATGGATACTGGACCCGACCTAAATTCGTAGATCCATATATGTTTGTAGGTCCTAAAATTATAGACCCGATGGGTCTGAATTGGATATGAATCTTTTGATTAAAGTACAAGTTCAGGTCTGGTTATGATACTAAGATATCGAGCCTGGACCCATTTATAAAAAAGTCTTCCTATGATTTTAAAATATATATAAACATTACATAATATGTTTTAAAATATATATAAATATTTTACAAGGAGACACCTGAGTTCTTATAGAGTTGAGTTTTTAAACTCGGCTTGCAACAATAAAATATTTTATAATCTACATTTTTAATGTTTGTATTATTCAAAAGATATTTGTGTAATTTTTTTGTAGTTTTTTTAAGACCTTAGTTTATCTTTTTTTATTCTGTTACTATTTGTATTGAAATTAATCTTTCCTCAATTGGAGATGTGATGTAAAATTAGTCAATAACATTTTTATTACGTTAAAAATATGTCAAATGACCTTTTTTAACAAACCCGTTTTGGACTCGTTTTAGACCTGAATCCGTGAGATCTTATGGATATGGATATGGGTCTCAATTTTCTAAACCCACGGATCCGGGGTAAGTTTGAATCCAATATATAAAATTGGGTCTGGATCTAAATCTAACTAGATTCGATCCAGATTTAAATCTAGTTGGATCCTATCCAGATCTAACCCGTTGTCATCCCTAGGTGACACCGCCGTAAAGATTTATTTGATTTATTAAATCTTATCTTTTTTTTTTATAAAATCTTATAATAATTTCTTTGATTTCTTCAATCATTGCACCCTTAGACTTTTTTAATGATATCATAAAGATGAAATTGTACTGCAACCTACTATATTACCTCCCCTTACCCCATTACATATGGGAACAAGTGACATCCATTTTTATAAAGATGAAATTGATTTGAAGTTTTATAAATATCGATAAATTCAAGTATCGAATTATTAAAATATTAATTATATGAAAAATTATGAAAGTGATACGCTTAGTGGATCCCGTGAATAAATTATGCTTCCCATGATTTAAAGCTACTTTTGTTGATGCATGAACATCCATTTTGATGGGTATTGGGTGTTATGCTGCAATATGCATGTTTTAGGGAATAGAGTTTAACATCTACAGCCCTAATACATCATCCAAAAGCTCAAAGGTTCCCTGTAACAGTGCCATGTGCGAACATCATAGAAGATGTTCTTCACCTTGGAATAATTGTCCTTGTCAAGTTGACTATCTGTCGGACGGCACTTCATCGATCGAATTCTGGCGGAGGATGTCTTGCACTTAACCCAAGATGTCGATGGAAATGAACCCGTCGAGGCCAATGTCACTTTCGGGTTTGTAAGTCTCCCAGACACAGATCGATCCCTGTCTATAAATTCATGTAGCTTCTCAAAATGTAGCTATATTCTTCTAAGAGTAAATGTTTCAATTCCTTGTCACGTTTTCTTTAATTCGATTCAGAAAATTTCATGACCGGTTATCGTATCGTCTTCGATCGAGAGAAGATGGTACCCGACTGGAAAGCATCAGACTGTAAGTAGCCTTTCTGTTCTGTTGGCATATCTAGTTTATCTCATACATCTTTTAACAATGAGATCTGATTTTCATAGGTTACGATATCGTGACCTCGAACACTCTACCGGTGATACCGCCGATGGCAGTTCCTTCTGCTGTCGCCGTCAATCCGGAAGCCACAGCGGGAAATGGCAATCATTCTGGCGTTCCAGGGGCATCTTCACCCATGCCTCTACCACTAAGAATCAAAATGTTTTTTTTTTGTGTGGATAAAATGTATGTATTATATCCAAAAGAACCAAATTCTCATTTGTTCTCTATTAAATTTCATAGTTTGTCATCGATTTCTATCAAACTAAATATTTGGTAAAAATAAATGTATTACAGTAAAATGCCCCGTGAACACCATGGCTAACATAAAAAGGGGCCTTAATCGTGCTTGAAAAAGGAGCTTCATTAAGGCAAGTAACCACTGTGATTGTTACACCCGAACCTCCTTTTTGACCAAACGAGAATCTTTTTTTTTCTTTTTCCTGTTGTTGGACCAGACGTTAGCAATGGCCGGGAGTGTTGTCCTAATCTTGTTATAGATGCAATCCATAAAAATTCGGTTAATAAAATTTGGGTAATTCAGTTCGGTCGGTTAACCGAATTAATCGTTTGAACACCTCTATTGAGAGAAAAAAAACACTTGTTTCAAGCTGTCACTAAATCAAATGTTCCAACGAATGCTTGGGTATTCATCAATTTAGTTGCATGTAATATTAGAAAATTAATCCTCACAAGCCATAGTTACAATAGGAAGTTGGGTTATTTTTAATATAGATATGAAAATGACAGAGTTCAGTTGCATGGGAGAGTTTGTGGTCGGATGAAGGATGCTTAATAAACACTACTTCATCCTTGCTTGAAGAAGCAATTCATGACTATATACAATGGGGCCACCTGCAGGTCACCTCACCTTCGTCACTAAAGGATCCCTCTGGTTCACTATAAATCTCCAAACTTTCCCATGCAAAAAACAAGCTCGAATCTACTTGTGAGTCGGTAAAATAAGACGACGACATGCCTTTATTCGTAGCGGTACTGACCTTAGTTGTCCTTGTGTTGCCATCTTCTTCGCCGGCCATTGCTCTTAGCCTGAATCACTACGAGAAAACCTGTCCCGACGTCGAGTCGATAGTTGCAAAAGCTGTCAAGAGTGCCACTGTGAAGGATAAGACGGTCCCTGCTGCCCTTCTCCGAATGCATTTTCATGATTGCTTTATAAGGGTAATCGGTGTGGATTTTAGAGATTTCATCTTCGAAGTTCGGTTTCAAGATTGACTAATACATTCAAATGGCCTTTTCTTTTCAGGGTTGTGATGCTTCTGTGCTGTTGTACTCGAAGGGAAACAATAAAGCCGAAAAAGACGGACCTGCAAATCTTTCATTGCATGCGTTCTATGTTGTAGAAAATGCAAAGAAAGAAGTTGAAGCACAGTGTCCTGGTGTAGTTTCGTGTGCTGATATTTTGGCTTTTGCTGCAAGGGATGCTGTTGTGCTAGTAAGACATTCTTTCATGCAGATTGTAAGTTCTATATGTGTAATATATGCATACGGTCGATCTAATGGTGTCTATACGATCAATTCGTTATAGTCCGGAGGTCCTACGTGGGATGTGCCTAAGGGAAGAAAAGACGGGAGAACGTCGAAGGCTAGCGAAACCATACAATTGCCAGCTCCAACCTTCAACATATCTCAACTGCAGCAAAGCTTCTCTCAGAGAGGCCTATCTATGGATGACCTAGTAGCTCTTTCAGGTTATCTGAAATGATAACATTTTATATGTTCATGGGATTAAGAAGGCAATCTCATAAAGGGGAACCATTGATGACACTTTTCGCAGAAAAAAAGAAGGCAATCTCAGTTGCCGAATATGCTCTTCTTTTGATCATCGACGAGATATTTACTCTAAAGCTTCTCCTTAAATGAAAAATAAACTACCTCAATTATCAGTATAGAGAAGGCGGTTTCTTTACCGGTAATCTCGTCGCTGTCTCTGCAATCACCGTCGTGGCGGCCGGTTACGTTTATTCAACGATACTGGATTTGAAAGATTGTCGAAACGTTGCGTTTGAATGGAGTCATAAGATCTAGACAACTGAGATTAACGGTCATGATTAAGAAGGCGACATGGTTAAGAATGGCCCATGGGAAGATCTTAATACACGTTGCACGTATACAATCATTTATCTTCTCTCTCTTTTATCTATTTTTTTCATTTTCTATATTTATCGATAATTTACTTACATTGCTTGCACCAAGTGTTTCGAATCATCATCAGCATCAACTCGGTGCTCTTCTCTCTTTACTCAATCCAACTGAAGTGGGGTGAAAAACAGGTGGATTTCAGGAATTCAAGTTGTTGGAACGACTTGGGGAAGGAAGCCAGCCTACCGCCATAATCGGCGAAGTTGCTGATGACATGAACTTGGATCTTGAGGTGATGAGCATGGAAGCCATTCATTCCAAGCATGTGGATGCAAATCTGCTGGCTGAGTTCGTCCCGTGTCCTGTTCTACTTTTACCATTGTAGGATGTGTAGTGTTCGAGATTGAATTCGAATATGTTGCAAATGCCAGTTTTCTTCTAGGCTTTTGTGATTGCCATTGAAGTTGTTGAAATGCTAATTTATTTTTGCTTTAGAAGAGGTTAGGAAATGACATATTAGCATTATCCATACATGGCTGAGCTTTTAGCATAATCGGCTTATTAGTAGAGGTAGCAATTGGGACATTCAGATCAGGTTCAAGTCGGGTCATTTCGGGTTTAGACTATTTCGATTTAGATTCGGGTTAGGGAGCGGATCTGGTTCGGATTTAGTTCGGATCGGGTCAAAGTCGGATCAGTTGGTTTTCGATTTGTGTTAATATCAAATCGGTTGGCGTCGAGTCGGGTCGATTAGTTTCGGTTCGGGTCAACTATTAGATTTTCAGGTCAATTCAGGCTGGTTTCAATTCGGGTCAACCTTTATATTATTAGGTCAACCTTTGTCATCATAACTTTCAATGTTGCTATGTATTGTCTCATCCCAAATTCAGAGCTAAAGGTTTTAGTCTTAGTCAATCAAATTAATAAATCTTTAAAATCAATAATTTTATGTGAATATATATTGTCATAGTCTAATTCAGTTATTTCATTAATATAGAGATTGTCTTTTGAGTGAGAAAGATCATTGAACCATTAAATTATTACTAAAAGTGATTGTTAACTAGTAGTATAATATAAAATAAGAATAAAACATACTATCATTTTACTATTTATCAATAATAATAATAATAAATTATTCATTCACTTGAAATTAATTATTGGTCAAGATCGGGTCAAAGTTACGTTCAAATCGGTTGTAAGTAAACTAAATTTGAGTTGCTTTTGGTTCGGGTTAATTTTGGTTTTGATTGCTTTTGGTTTAATTAAAATTTGGGTCGATTTTGGTTTGATTCGAGTTATTCGGACTTTGGATCAATTTTAGATTAGATCATTCCACTTGAATTTATTTTGAGTTTTGAATCGAATAAATCGATTTGGATAATCGGATTAGAGTCAAATTTTCCAGGTATAGTAATTTTAATTTGAAAAACGCTGAATTTCTGTACCTACTCGAATTCTGTTTCCCAAAAACCACTCAACATAGACCAACGAAATCGAGCAGTAAATAGAATGCTCTTCCGGAAGTATAACTTCCCAATAAGAAGAAATTAGTAATTATTCTCTTAAAAACAATCGGAAGGTGGCGAAAATAATGCCTAGGTCCATGGAATTGGAATTAGGTGTACATACAACATTTTCCTTAAAACGAATATTATATTAAAATTAATGTTAAAAATAATTAAGAAAAAAAGGTTTTAATTAAAAATAGATTAAATTAGAAAAGAATTACACTTGAATATTTTCAAAAACAATTACACTTTTATTTTTATTTATTTTTAATAATCTAAGATAATTATAATGTAGTATATGTTCGTAACTATTTTAATCTATTGATAACATAGACATAGGGATGGTAGCAGGTCAGGTTTTTGGTTAACTCGACTTGAAAATATGTATCCTCTATCCAAACCTGATCCGACCAAAAAAAATTATATCCTCCATCCTACCCTACCTGACAGGAATTTTTAGAGTATAAATCCAATCCGATCCAGTATAAAATAAGGATTTAATTAAATAATAATAAATTTTTAAAGAAATTACATTATTATCCTCGGATCAGAGTTTTTTACCCTCCATTCGAACCCAACCCGAACAGAACTTGCCCCTTGAAAAGTTGTCAGAGGTATAAACATTCAATGCTAAATGATTTAGAGAACAAATACTACATTATACTTACTCCAAAGTAATAAAAATATTAGAGGATATATTTCTAAACAAATATTACCTTAAGTTATTAAAAAAATATTGGAGGGTAACAATTAGGGCCGTAAATAAGACGACAGATCGCGAGTTACTTGAGATCGACTCGATCAAATCTCGACTCAAATGGATTCGACTCGAGCTCAAGCTCGACTGGAGTTCTTAATGAGACGAAACAAACTACTTGATACTCGACTCAAAAAGCTTATCAGCAGTTCAAAAATATAATACATTAAGATTTTATTTTTTTAGAAAATAAATTATTAATAATATTAACATTTATGGGTTGATTTTTTTTAAAATGCAATATAAGGTTTTCATGTATTAATATTCGAGTTTGAGGCTTCAATAGAGTTAAGTTTAAGATTTTCTTTTTCATTTCGAGCCTTTTTTTTAGCTTTTACGAGCTTCAGTTCATTATTTCGAGTTCGAGTCGAGCTTGAAAATTTTAGGTTCGCGAGTTTTAGAGTCGTTTCGAGCTTCATATCAGAGTTTTCAAGTTGAGTCGAGCTCAGCAATACTCGACTCGTTTACAGCCCTAGTAACAATAGACGTGTCAAGTGGAGTAGAGGAATATTTTGTTAAAGACAGAAAAAAGAAACATTTTTGAGTTGGGTCAAGTTAATCGACCAGATGGGTTATCGACCCATATATATGTGTACTTGTATTCGAAAAAATTGACACAATATCGTAGGTAGGTTAATTATTTAGCCCAATAAAAAAATGTTTTGGCAAACTCGACATGAGGGAGTGACGAGTTTACATTGTACTATAACATTTGTTGTAGATCCAAAATTAATTTTGGAGATGACCTAATGGACCACTTTTTTTAACCCTTCCAACCTATTGGGCCAATTTTGCCCTTGTATTCCGTCTAATCAAAAGCAACAAAAAAATGAGGCCCATTATGTTCAATGGACTGGTTTTTTTTAACCCATACTGAACCCTCAAGCCACAAGGTCAAGATGAAAGACATAGAAGATGGTCAAATTCTGATTTTGGTCCCTCTACTTACTCCAAATGGGATTTAGTCTAAATGTTTTTACTTGGTATAATTAAAATATTTACAACGTTGATTGTTTCGGTTAATTAAAATGCTGATGCAAACTTTTTTTTCTTCTTAAAAAGATCCTTTCTAACTCAAAAATAAAAATCAACATGCTGAGTTGGAAGGACATTTGTAAGACCACCTTTTATAATTATTCTTATTAAAAAACTAAAAAAAATAAAGAGAAAATAGAACCGATAGTCGGAACCAGCATTAATATCCAACCCTTCCTTTTGATTTGAATATTTTTTTAATCGCATCAAATTTTTCATACATTAAAAACCTTCGGTCTTGAGAGATTTTATAAAAATACATTTCACTTGATCTTAAGTCTCGCACACTTAAGTTCTAGTTCCTTGATAATATATTCTATGATAAAGTAATATCTCATGTCTATATGTTATCTTTGATCATGAAATGCAAGATTTTTTTTGAGTGTTTATGCATACTTATTATCGATGTAAATCTTTATTTATCCTTCTTGTGACAAGTGAAGTTCTTTCAATAATTTTCTAAGACAAATAATACGACAAGTACAAGAAGTACAAGTTGAATATGCCACAATAGATTGCTTCTTAGAACTCGAAGCAATGCAACAATCTTTGAAGAAAAACACAAATCTAGTGGTCTTGAAAATGTCACAACTCGTTACCACATGACAACATTGGTTCTTCAATGTCATTAAAATTTAACCATTCTATATTCATACCATTAACATAACTTACAAGTATCTATTGACCATTCTTATTAAAATATAAATTCAACATACATATTATGTCATTTTACAATCACAAAAGATGGTTCATCTTTACAAATAAACTAATATGCAACATGACACATAATTTCTCCTAACATATAATGCACAAACCAATTCTAACTTACGAATGTTTATAATATCCATACACATGCATGCTAATAGGTTTTTGCCATTATCTACTAGATAAGTCTATTAGAACATCTACCAAACATACATATCATACCATTGACACATACCATTAAGACATTGCCTTTATGCCTTCAAGTTTTACCTACACTAAGCATGCAACATATTTTTCTAGCTAGTTATCAACATGCACTCAATTACTAGGATCTTAACCAGGGGCAGGTGTATGTGGCTCCCTAAAAGAATAATTGCACACTCATTATTATGAAAAAAAGTGTTAAATTTATTAATTAAAATAAAAAATAAAGAAATTTACATACCTAAATTTTTTAGAATACAATATTTAAATTTTAGACTCTGTTCTTTAATTTATGTATCTGCCACTAATCTTAACTATCAATTATCATGGTAACCTATATTAACATATACATACATTTATCTTAACTTATATATAACGAAGTACCAAAGTAAGGTATAACCACAAATGATCATGTTAGAATGCATAAAATATAACACGAATAAAGTAATATCGGTGGTAAAGGAATTATCGTTATTCCATTACAAATAGTATTTGTTCTAAATATACTCTCAACCTTTGACAATAAATGCTTAATCACCCTACTACAATTGCCGGTGCTCGAATCCATGACCTTTAGTAACAACAATAATTCCTTTAACCACTGAGGTAAGTTGGTTCGTGCAGTTGAGAATTATTTTTAAACTTACAGTACTTATCACAAATTAATAATTAAAAAAATGCACAAAAATAAAACATATACATGATATTACAACCAAATGAGGAAGATGAAAAGTGATGGGATTTTTTGGGTTGCAATTCGGTGGGATAATGGGGAAGTTTCTCTTAATAATTTTTTAGTTCAAAAGGTTATAATCCAAAATTTATAAAATGATTTCAAATATTTTTAAAATAATATTTTTAAAAAATTAGAATTTTATATAATATTTTCATGTGACACCTTTAATAATATTATAAAACCATTTAAAATTTATCGCATCATTATTTTGAATTAAAAAACCAGCTGAGATAACAATATAAATATTAATAAAAATATATTAAAATTTTATTTGGTATGCATAATAAGAATGAGAAATTGTGGGAAAAAAACTGATAATTAAATAGTTAAAATGTCAAGTAAGAAAATGAATATGAATCCTATCTATTTCATTAATAAATTCACATCAATTCATCAACCCTCATCTCTATCTTTTATATTCAACAAAGTCTAAGAACTTG